TTAATAGAATGGGATTAAATACATAAAGGATATTTGTGTTGTTTAACATTTATTTATTGCAGGTTTGCGTCATTGCGAGTTGCATTATTGCATTATATATTGCATTATTTTTATAAATTTTGAGGAATAATGAATCTGTTTTGTTTTTTTTGTGAGTGAGATGAATTCATGCATATTCATATTTATTTTAGAACTACAGTAACATCTTCTGATTTCTCTCAACATGGGGACAGGAGAGCTGTCAATCAATAAATTGAAAAAAAAAGTAACTTGCGTTACTTATTTGAAAAAGTAACTCAGATATTCTCTTGTAAATTAAAAAGTAATGCGTTACTTTACTAGTTACTTGAAAAAAGTAATCTGATTACGTAACTCGCGTTACTTGTAATGTGTTACCCCCAACACTGGTAATACACACTAACTTCTGGGTTGGCCTACAAAAATGCGTCATCGCTGCAACACTACATTGCCTTCAAATTGCATTCTCAGAGTTGCGCTATTGTAGGCAAAACCATAAATTGTCTTCTTCTATGGTTAGTTAAGGTCATCATGTGTCTGGACTAAATCGGCTTTATCTAAAATATTTGAGACTTACTGATGCTTTAAGCCAATCACATGCATTTATGAGAAATCATCAACCAATAAACACAATAGAATGACCTGTTCATGAGTGCGCTGATTGACTCCTTCTCATCCTGATAATGTGACTCCAGCTCTGACAGGAAGATGACAGCGGACCAAGCCTGTTCCCTCGGTTTAGATGACCAAGCCTGATCTCTAGGTTTAACACTCTCAGGACAGCCTCGCAAGACCACAGAACCACAGCTCCTGCCATATTCATCAAATATAATTAATGTGTAATGTATCTGAACCACAGCTCCTACCATATTCATCAAAAATAATGAATAATGTATTTGGTAGCACTTTAATTTAAGCTTATATATACATATATATATACATATGCATATAAAAATATTTTGGTAACACTTTACAATAAGGTCCCATTATTTAACGTTAATTTTAACATGAATTAATGCATTAACTAACATTAACAGTGAGCAATACATTTATTACAGTATTTATTAATCTTTGTTACTGTTAGTTAATAAAAGTAAAACAATTCATTGTTAGTTCCACTGAATAATATTAAGAGATACAACTTTTGGTTTTAATAATGTTTTAGTAAATGATGAAATTAACATTGTTTAATAAAATACATTTCATGTTAAAGAGTGCATTTAACTAAGTAAAACTTTGTGTTACTATTATTTTTAATGCATCATGCCTCATCATGCATCTTATAATAGATTGTATGATCTCATGAATAATTGTAACCACAGTTATAAAACATTATAACACTTATCGATCATTGTTACACCTTTGAAAAGTATAATGCATTAAAACATTGATATACCAAATATATAATGGCAGACTCAAAAGTCAGCAACTGCACGTACAGATGCACAAATAACTAATAGTACCTGTAGCCCCGGAGGGCCCCGGGAAGCCCACACACCTGAAGCCAGTCTCTGTGTCTGAAAGCCAGCTCTACACACACTCCTAGTTCACACACACATTCTGTCTGATCCCATGCCGACATCGAGTCCCACCAAACAACACCTGTAATGATGTGTGATAAGATACTGTTAAACTATTCTGTGAAAGGGAGCGTTTATGAACTCAGTATATCTGTTACCATACTCATCCTGCAACATCTCTCTGTACAGTCGCTCTCTGATGACCTCATACTTGTAGTCCAGGAGCTGGAGGATGTCAGTAGTGCTGGGACAGATCTTGCCCGCTCGCATGACGCCAGTGTTCTTCTGAGAAAGAGACAGTAGGACACTCCACACGCCGTCAAGAATCTGAAGAGTCTGAACCGAAAGCAAGAGGAATATACGCTGATTTTATTCAATGGGATTGTGAGCAGCTGAATGAAAGAGTGTGTGCTTAAACTGACCTGGTGTAGAGTCTCTTGGCTCTGTTCTGAAGACACAAGATACTAAACTGCTCTGGATCCTGCTCCCAGAAAAAAAAAAACAATCACAAAAGATGCACACATACATTTAGCAGATACCTTTCTCCAAAGTGATTAACAAATGATTGAATGAGCTAAAATAGAGTGCAAAGCTGATTAACTAAAAACATACAAAATAATACAATATAATACAATACAATATTATATTATTATATGATTTGGTTTTCTACCTGTTGCCTGGAGCTGAAGTTGATTGTTGAAGATTGTGTGTTTTGTTTATGATCAATTCTACCAGCCTTCAACATCTGGAGATCCCAGTACAGCTACAGAAAATATAAGCCATTCACATCCTTGAATTTGCAACAATATAACTTCACAATTTATATAATATAATATAATTTCACAAATTGACATGATTTCCGAATTCAAGCACCCAAAAGACCCAAAAATTACAAGTATGCTTTTTGTTAAGATTATTTCCTTCAATCCTAAAACATAGCACAATGAAACGCACAATTCAAAATGCAAGTAAAATTCCTGTGAAAAAATCCTTCATATTAACATGGTACATTGCAACAAATTTTTTTTGTTTTTTTTTTAATTTTTTTAGAATGAAGTTATTTCTTAATTTAGATTTAGTATAAATAAGAAAAAATATACACATAGTCAGAAATAAAGAGAAATACTGTATAGACAGAATTGAATGAAATTGAAAAAAGACCTCTTCTCTGTTCTCACGTTGTTTCTCCATCACTAGGAGAACATGCAGAACTCCTCGGGCTGAACATGACAAGCCTCCAGTCTGACCTCTGACCTGAACACATCACACAAAACATTTCTCTTTCTGCTTCTTTTCTGTCTCACTCTTCTCATTCATGAGAATCTGAGACAGCAGAACATCTTGTTCACCTGTGCAATGGCTCTCTGTCTCGTCCAGGCCGGCGGTGATGAGGAAGACGCTCTTATAGAGGGAACAGATCATGTCCACGCCGACCTCATCATCCTCATGTACACCCATCGCCTCACAGACCAAATGAAAACACTCTTCCATCCTAAAAAAGACAAAGCACCTTGTGTAAGCTCGATTTCATCGTACCAAAAAAATTATATCTATATACTGCACACACAATCATCATAATAAAATGAGTTCTTGCCGTACTTCATAATCAAATTAAAATATAACAGATAGTTTTACCTTATATAATTTAAACATGAAAAGAGAAAGTGTCTCACCTGTTCGGAGAGTTTATCTTCACGAATGATGCATGATTACAACAAAGCCACGTCTGTTGCCGAGGAAACCGTTCGAGTCAGATTACAGAAGAGGACCTTCAGCTCAGTGCTGACCACACTCTTCCTCAGACAAATCATGACACTCATTTAGTGATGATACTTAAACACTAAAAAGCCTGGCTGAATCCAAGATAGATAGCTACTTATGATAGACTTGACATTTTTTTGGTTAAATTTAACCATTTAGGATTTTTATTTAGTATTTTTTTTTCATTCAAGATTGTTTTTTTTTTAAATAGCAACCAAATATTTTAAGACTATAAACAATACAATTATTAAAATGATATAACCACGTCATGTTTACTGTAAATCTAAATTAAATTTGAGATGTTTTTAAATTAAATGTTTTTGATGTGTGCTTATCTAGCAAAAAAATTCATTTACATTATATTGAAAAAGGGGTAGCCAAGAGATGGCAAAAAAAAAAACAAAACAAAAAAAAATCCCCCAACAGTTCATAATCAAATAGTGTCAAACAAATATGAAAAAAAAAAGTATTGCACTTTTCTTTTACTGTTTTTCACTAAAAGGGTAATGTGAATAAACCAAATAAGAACAAACACAGGCTGGGTAACAGTGGGATTTTGTGTAATAACGTGACACAGTAAATATGAGAATACAATGTTTATGACAATGTCATACACAAAAACTGACGGTTTACAGAACCTGAGAATGTCAATGCATCTGATGAATATAACAATCATAACTCAAAATAATCCTGTGAAGGCACTGTTAGATTTAGCTCGTGTTTCTATTTTTATTTAGATTCACTGTCAGTGTTGCAAATGAAGTGTCTTTATAACATATTGCTTATAAAACTATGTATTTTAAGAGAGTAACAATATATTTAAATCACAATACCAGTGCAACAGCCAAAAAAGCCCTATCAAAAACAGTGCAGATAAAATTATGCAGATTTCAGATCCATATTGTTCAACTCATATTAATTTCTTTCAAAATATCAAATTAAAGAGGAAAAGTCCAGAAAAGCAACTTATGGCATGCAAAAAAAAAAAATCATAATTCATTATTATTAAAAAAATGCTTTTTCCTCTTTGTACTCTTGTTCTGTGGTGAGGAAAAAGTAGTTAAACTTTGTCCATCCTCCTATCAGTGGAAGGACGTAAAAATTAGCTCCATGAAACACAGGTTAACACAGTGTCCTATAATCAGTCAGAAACACTTACACACAGTAGCACCAATAAAACAATTCAACAAAACAACTAAATGCAGTATACAGTTGAAAACTGTTTATGTGGTTTGAGATATAAAGTAAAACTTAAATGTGCTTTAAGTTCAAGCATTTTAAAGTCAACACAAAACTCTATTCGTAATTCGGGGAAGCCTGTTTCCATCACAGGTTAAAAAATGTAAAGTTTTGACATCTCATAATTCTGACTTTTTTTCTTGCAAATCTGAGAAAAACAGTCTGATTTGTGAGCTACAAATTCTGAATTGCGAGACAAACACAAGAATCCTCGCAATTCTGATATTTTTCATTTCACAATTCGAACTATTTTTCTCAGAATTCTGAGTTTACAAAAGAGTCTGAATTGTTAGATGAAAAAGCAATTACCTTTTTTTTTTCATCTGTTGCGGAAACAAGTGTCCATAGTAATTTGATGTATTTCTGAGTGAAACAGGATATTTGTTTTAATTATTTTTAATGTTACAAATTTTTTTTTTGAAATAACGTACACTAATAAATCTTATAGTGTAAGACCAGGAATATGAATTAAAAAGAAATAAAGCAAATTCTGATTTCGTGTTGACTTAAAGAGCTTGTTGTGGTTCATCAGATCTCAGTTTTAGCTGGTTTGACTCCACGTGATGTTTGGTCGAGTTTGTGGGTCTCAGAGATTGCCGTGGATAATTTTCGGGCATTTCTCGGGGGCGATGCAGTGAGCGTTGTGTTCCACTAGGCCAGCGGGACACTGGCATCCCGGCACACAGGGTTTGAAGCAGTGAGCCTCGATCACGCCAAGCGGCACATCTTTGTTAAAACACGTCTTAGGACACGGCGGCCCGCATTCATCAAACACATAACCACGGTCAAGCGGACAGCCCACGGCTGTAGGGATGAAGGAGGGAAAGGATGGAGTTAAACTAAAGCATAACAAATATCAAATGACTTTCCCTTGTATAAACATAAATACATAACTACATGTATATGTCCTTACATTTTAATATATTGTGTTAATATACACTGCTCAAAAATATTAAAGAAACACTTTTTAATCAGAGTATAGCATCAAGTCAATTAAACTCCTGGGATATTGATCTGGTCAGTTAAGTAGCAGAGGGGGTTGGTAATCAGTTTCAGCTGCTTTGGTGTTAATGGAATTAACAACAGGTGCATTAGATGGGCAACAATGAGACGACCCCCAAAACAGGAATGGTTTTACAGGTGGAGGCCACTGACATTTTTTCCCCTACTCATCTTTTCTGACTGTTTTTCACTAGTTTTGCATTTGGCTCGGGTCAGTGTCACTACTGGTAGCACGAGGCGATACCTGGACCCTACAGAGGTTGCACAGGCAGCCCAACTCCTCCAGGATGGCACATCTATACGTGCCATTGCCAGAAGGTTTGCTGTGTCTCCCAGCACAGTCTCAAGAGCAAGGAGGAGATTCCAAGAGACAGGCAGTTATTTTAAGAGAGCTGGACAGGGCTGTAGAAGGTCCTTAACCCATCAGCAGGACCGGTATCTGCTCCTTTGTGCAAGGAGGAACAGGATGAGCACTGCCAGAGCCCTACAAAATTATCTCCAGCAGGCCACTGGTGTGCATGTCTCTGACCAAACAATCAGAAACAGACTTCAAGAGAATGGCCTGAGGGCCCGATGTCCTCTAGTGCTCACTGCCCGGCACCGTGGAGCTCGATTGGCTTTTGCCATTGAACACCAGAATTGGCAGGTCTTCATTGGTCTCCAGTCTTCACTGGTGCCCTGTGCTTTTCACAGATGAGAGCAGGTTCACCCTGAGCACATGTGACAGACGTGAAAGGGTCTGGAGAAGCCGTGGAGAGCGTTATGCTGCCTGTAACATCGTTCAGCATGACCGGTTTGGTGGTGGGTCAGTGATGGTCTGGGGAGGCATATCCATGGAGGGACACACAGACCTCTACAGGCTAGACAATGGCACCCTGACTACCATTAGGTATCGGGATGAAATCTTTGGACCCATTGTCAGACCCTACGCTGGTGTAGTGGGTCCTGGGTTCCTCCTGGTGTATGACAATGCCCGGCCTCATGGGGCGAGAGTATGCAGGCAGTTCCTGGAGGATGAAGGAATTGATACCATTGAATGGCCCCCACACTCACCTGACCTAAATCCAGTAGAACACCTCTGGGACATTATGTTTCGGTCCATTCACTTTGATTTTTGGGGTGTCTTTGAATTCAGCCCTCTGTAGGTTGATAATTTTCATTTCCATCAAATGATGTGGCATCCTTTCATTCCTAACACATTACCCAGTCCATATTAGCATAGATCCAGCATGATATTTTTCCCCATTGAGATCTGATGCGTTTTCAAAGTGTTCCTTTAATTTCTTTGAGCAGTGTATTATTATATATTAATACATAAAGAATTGTCGCTTTTTTGAATTATTGAAAAATATGTGACAATCTACACCACCGGTCAAAAGTTTTAAAACGGTAAGATTTTTTAAATGGTTTTGAAGTAGTCTCTTCTGTTCACCAAAGCTGCATTTATTTTATCCAAAATACAAAAAAAATATAGAAATATTATGATTATTTTTTACAATTTAAAATAACTGTTTTCTATTTTAAAATATTTTAAAATGTAATGTATTAAGCTGAATTTTCAGCATCATTACTCCAGTCTTCAGTGTCACGTGATCCTTCAGAAATCATTCTAATATGCTGATTTGATGCTCAAGAAACATTTCTGATTATCATTAATGTTGAAACCAGTTGTGTGCAATTTCAGTTTCAAAAGAACAGCATTTATCTGAAATAGATATCTTTTGTAACATATTTTTATATGTATCAATATATAGCTATACAGTACATGGCCTATGCATATATTGCAGTATACTGAAAAACATAAGCACCAACATACTGTATTATGTTTTCCAGTATATTGTTTTATTTCATAAGGGTCAGCTGTACAGCTGTACAGAAGACAAATGTCATTATTCAGCTCAATTTAGTTAAATATTGATTCAGTTTATTCAATAACAGTGTCAATGTTGCAATATTCATCAATTATGAAAGAAATTTAATTCAGCTATAAAGCAGCTCTACAGAAAACAATAGTATTATTATTCAGTTCAAGTCAGTTCGGTGTTGATCCAGATCAGTTTCAAAGTTGTACTGTACTGTATGTGTATTTGTCACTCACCGCAGAGTGTCGGCGACCTCCACTGCAGGATAACTCCAGCCTCACGGCACTCAGACGCGTAAGCCTCCAACACGTCACACAAACACTCGTCTATATTGGAGCCGCAGGCACACAGATCATACACACACGAAGCATAGAACATCTCGGGTGGCACCAGCTTATGACAGCGCTCAAACACGGGCGACTTCAGCACTGCACAGCGAGCATTCGCAGTCTTACGGGCCGAGTATCCTGCTTCTTTACATGGGTGAATGTTTATCGCATCAGGACACTGAACACTTGGATTTCCACTGCCCACCTGCAAGGAGAACAAAGTACATATAATTTAACATTCATGTGAAATACATGCTATACTAATTACAATAAAAAATTATGCATCAGCGCTGATATGCTTAGCCTTGGTGTATAAATGGGAAAACCGGTTTTGTTTTCCCACATTCTCCATCAAAAACTGTCCCATTTCTACGTTTGCTGTCAGCTACTATCCCACATATCAATAAGCAAGCACAGCATAAAGATGTTTTAGCGTCTTAACCTTCCAGTTGTTTCCAAACACTGCTTCAGAGCTGGTGATTTGTCCATTGCGTAGTTTCGTGTCGTCCTGAGGGTAGTTATTGAAGTTGCCACATAAACCACACATGTACTTCTTGTAGGTACCAGGAACACTGACTTCCAGATGAGAACGACCATTCCACAACACCTTACATCACAATCAGCAAATAAACTCACAAGTGTCATCATGAAATTCATATAAAAACATTACAAATAAATCCTATAGGATATATTTCCTATAGGAGACTGAACACAGAGTGAATTCATGCAGAGGCTGTACCTTCAGCCCAACATTGGTGTTCAGGAGGATGGTGTTGGTCTTGCGCTCCAGGTAAACATACGGTTCTTTAAGAAACGGCAGAGAGACTTGCTGATAATCAACCTGAGGCATGGACAAAAAGAAGAAAAAAGATTTATCTGTATGTCATGTGACCATTAACCTACTTCAATATAATGTAAACACACGCATATGTTGTTAAAGGGGTCATATGACGTTGCTAAAAAAAGAACATTATTTTGTGTATTTGGTGTAATGAAATGTGTTTATGCGGTTTAAGGTTCAAAAACACATTATTTTCCATATACTGTACATTATTGTTTCTTCTCTATGCCCCGCCTTCTGAAACGCGTCGATTTTTACAAAGCTCATCGGTCTGAAAAGTGAGGTGTGCTGTGATTG